GGTCAAGAGTGAAATACTTTGGACAGATAGATTCTTCTCTTCTCTAAGGTAATTTTTTAAAGCTTATGAAAAGATAGTTAATGCTTTGGGCAAAGAAACGTCGTTCTTGGCCCTATTGAAAAGCGCCAATCTTTTGGGTCAAAGTCATATTCATTTCGACTGAGAGGTCCTTTTTTCAGTGTGGGTTTTAAGTGCGTCTTTATTGTTATTTCTTTTATGACGGGGAAGGATTAGGTTTTGTATCAATTTGTGCATGAAAATAAACAAAATTGATGTGATGATATGCTGCTATAAATATACGGAGATTGGTCTATAAACATAGTAAATATGTGATCCCTAATTCGTTTTGATTAATTTATATAGATTTTCAAATATTATATTGTTAAAAAATGAAAACTTTAAAACTAAACTTTTTTGACAATTTACTTTATTTGCTTTCTGTTCTTTCATCAACAGATGCAGTGTCCAAGGAGAAACTATTTTTTTTGCAGATTTATCTAAAATTTTTGGAATTGATGTCTTTGAAATACGCAATGATGCTTTAATTTCACAACATGTGTCGATCTTCTAGAATCAACTTACGTACATCGAAGTTTTTCGGGGTGATTGTCGTTGTACTTGGATCGTCATTAAGACTAATCCTTCCACGTTTAAACTCTTGATACCAACGAGACATTGTCGGTTAATGTGGTGCCCCATTTGCGAAAACAGAAACCAACTCGGCAAGGTAACCTTGTTGAGACAACTGTCTTTCAAAAAATTGTAAAAAAATATTGCGCAAAAATTTTCGAACAAAATCTGACTCGTCGGCTTCAAAAATTCAGTTTAGTTATTTTTTATATGTTGACAGACGCATACTATATTTCTATATGCAAAATATGAAAGAAAACTCTCATATATATATATATATATATATATATATATATATATATATATATATATATATATATATATATATATATATATATATATATATATATATATATATATATGACAGACAGACATACTATATTTCTATATGCAAAATATGAAGAAAACTCTCATATATATATATATATATATATATATATATATATATATATATATATATATATATATATATATATATATATATATATATATATATATATATATATATATATGAGATATATATGAGTTTTCTTTCATATTTATATAAAATATAGTATGCGGGGTCTGTCAACTTTATATATAAAAAATAACTAAACTGAATTTTTTTGAAGCCGACGAGTCAGATTTTGTTCGAAAATTTTTGCTACTACTATATTTCTATATGCAAATATGAAAGAAAACTCTCATATATAATATATATATATATATATATATATATATATATATATATATATACTATATATATATATATACAGTGTGACCCACTCAAGACCAGGCACCCTCCATAAAATCTGTGTTTATAGTCCGATTTTGATGATTTTTTTTCAATATAAAGTTTCAAAAATGTACTTTAGGGCTCAACAAGGCCTACTTAATAAAAAGTTTTGTGGTGAAAAATTTGCAAAATCATATTAGTGATTTTTTCAAAATTTGAGTACACCCCTACATTCGGCATCCCCAAAACAGTTCTGTACCAAATTTCGTTTAAAATATTAATTATTAATAATTCTGCAGTTAAATTAAATAATTCCCTATTTGTGCCAATTTAACGATGAGTTATCACGTAACCCTTGAAAAAAACATCCCACAACAATGGGTTTTTATTAGCTGTCAATTCTTGCAGCGTAGAATTGAATATTAATTTAATAGCACGCAGAAAAGTGTTGTATCAAGAAATATTATTTGCATTATGGAACAATTAAATATTAGGGATAAAATTGAAATTATTCGTTTAGTGGGTGATAACTATCTTCAAGCAGGAGAAGCTGCCAGAGGAATTTAACAACAGACATCCCGACAGACCTGCAGTAAGTAGAAGCACGGTTCAACGAATAAATAGAGTTTTTAATGAAACTGGTTGTGTGTCAAAATACTTACTAAAAAACAGAAGGCCGGAACATCGAATAAATAGGCGGAATGAGGAAATATTAGAATATTTTCGTAACAATCCTCGTTCAAGCATTAGAGGCGCCAGTGTTGATTTGGATATACCAAGGGAAAATATTAGGAGATGTTTGCGAACTAATAAAGTTAAACCTTTAAACCAAAGATTTTACACACTTTGAAAACGGAGATGATGTTAGACGATTAGAATTCTGCATGGGCTCAAGCAGAGTATTTAAATAATAGAAATTCCTTAAAAGAAATTTTATTTAGTGATGAGACAACATTTAGTACAAACGGAGTAGTATCCTCTCAAAATTCGCGATTCTGGGCAGTCGAAAACCCTGAATGGGTGATCAATACAAGAAGACAGTATTCTCCAGAAATTAAATGTGTGGTGTGGCATACTTGATGATAGAATCATTGGTCCATATTTTTTGAGAGAAATTTGAATAGTCCAACGTTTTTGAATTTTCTGATTAATGACTTTTGGGATGCAATATATAATTTACCATGCCAAAACCCGTTTGAATTTAAAACTTCAATTGGACGGATCACCTGTGCATAACGCGGCAGTTGTCAGGGAATGGTTAAATGAAAATTTTGAAAATAAGTGGATAGGTCGAAATAGCCCGCTAATTGAGTGGCCACCGAGATCCCCGGACCTAACACCCCTTGATTTCTTTCTTTGGGGTTTCTTAAAGCAACAAGAGTTTACAAGTCTAGACCTCAATCTGTAGATGAATTTCGTATTGGAATTACAGAGGCTTCTGCAAATATTACACCACAGCAGCTTAGGAATGTAACTGTTAATCTAAGAAAAGATGCGACAAATGTATTGAACTGAATGGAGGGCTGGTAGAAGCAACTAAATTATTTGAATATGTTTAACTTATTATTCAGTTATTGTGTTGCTTTGTAGTATTTTATCATTGTTTGTAATAAAACTCGTTGTCGTGGATTGTTTTTTTCAAGGGTTACTTGATAACTCATCGTTAAATTGGCAAAAATAGGGAATTATTTAATTTAACTGCAGAATTATTAATAATTAATATTTTAAACGAAATTTGGTACAGAACTGTTTTGGGGATGCTGAATGTAGGTGTACTCAAATTTTTTGAAAAAAATCGCTAATATGATTTTGCAAATTTTTCATCCCAAAAACTTTATTAAGTAGGCTTTGTTTTTTTTGTGAAATAACATGACATTGAGCCCTAAAGTACATTTTTGAAACTTTATATTTGAAAAAAATCATCATCAAAATCGGACAATAAACACAGATTTTATGGAGGGTGCTGGTCTTGAGTGGTCACACTGTGTATATAATATATATTATTATTATTATATATATATATATATATATATATATATATATATATATATATATATATATATATATATATATAAATATAAAGCAAGGTCCTACAGCTTCTGCCGCATCCGCATTTCGACCTCCATATTGCTCGATTTTGCCATTCTTCCTGGTTAATAGCTCTGTCTCTCATATACTGGTCTACTCCATCTAACCGTAGTTGTAGGTCTTCCTTTTTCCTTCTGCTTTGGAGACGATACTCCATTGCCCTTTTTGGCCATCTTTCCCCTACCATTCTTTTTACGTGCCCATACCATAGTAGCTGTCTCGATTCGATGTTGTCGGTGCTGGTATATATTCGCCTTGTTCTTTGCCTGATCTCCTCATTTCTAATGTGTTCCATCCTTGATATGCGACATGCTCTTCTGAGAAAGTCCATCTCCACTGACTCGACCATCCTTCTTTCTTTTGCTGTAAATTGCCAGCATTCGGCACCGTATGTTAAAATTGGCTCTACGATTGCTTTGTAAATCCTTATGTTTGTTTGGATGGATGTTTTATTTGACCACAGGAGAGGGTTTAAGAGACCGATTACTTTCTTACCTTGTTGAACTCTACTATGTATATCTTTCTTGGAGTTCCCTTCTTCAGATATAATACTTCCTAAATATTTATATTCGCTACACCTTTTAATTTCATGTATGTGTAGTTCAGTATCTTCAGTTTGTTCTTCTCCTACTTTCAGGTATTCGGTTTTTGTGAGGTTGATATTGAGTCCCCATCTGTCGTATTCTTTCTCAAGTTTCCTGAACATAGTCGGCATTCTCCTCACAACCTGCAACAATAACTTGGTCGTCTGCAAAGAACAAGGTCGATAGACAGTGGTTGTCAATCTCTATTCCCATAGTTCTACTCTTCCTTCTCCAGTTTTTCAATGCCTCCTGGATATATATTTTAAATAAGGTAGGTGATAAAATGCACCCCTGTCTAAGTCCTTTAGATGTCAGGAAGGATTCCGATAGGAACTTCCCCTGTCTAATCATACTTTTTGGATTTTTGTACATATTCCAGATTGCATTGATATATGTATGTTTTACTCACATTTTCTTCAACCAAGATTACAAATAATTTCTTCAAAGGCGCCGTGTCATAGGCTTTCTTTAAATCTATAAATACCAGATGCGTGTCCAAATTTCGAGCTTTCCTTTATTCAATTATTTGTTGTAACACAAATATGTTGTCTGTACAAGAACGCCCAGCGCGGAAACTACCTTGTTCTTCTATTTCTTCAAAGCTCTCTTCTACTCTCTCTTTTAATATCCTGCCATACAACCTTCCAATTGAGCTTGTCAAACTAATGCCTCTATAGTTGCTACATCTTTTTTTGTCTCCTTTCTTAAAGATAGAGCTGATATACGCCAGGTTCCAGTCTTCAGGAATGTTTTCGTTTTTATCAGGCATCTGTTGAAGATATCAGCTAGTATTTCCAATAATATATCGGGTCCCTGCTTTATTAGCTCAATGAAAATGTTTTCCGGCCCCGCAGCTTTTCCATTTTTTGAGTTCTTCAAAACTCTCATACAATTAGAAGTAAAGACCTAAGATACCAGTGTATTATACAAGATGTAGTTAGATGAATACGACATTAAAGATTAAAAATACATATTTAGATCGAATGAATAAAAAACTTAAACTTAATCCTGATCAATTAAAAGTAAACAAAATTGGGACTTCAATACAAACTGTCCAAAAAGCCGAAGATATTATTGACTCCGACATACTCCACAACTACCTGTCTTACTCCACTCCGACGGCCGCGCACCTGAGCAACGACAACAAGACCAAAGCGGACCGCCGTTCCTGCCCCTCGCCCCGATCGAACCGCATGGCCTATTGTTACGGCGACCCCACGTGGTCAGCGGCGGCGGCTCAGCTGATCTTCGGCGCGAAGAGGTAGCGCGGGGGCGGGGCGCGCGCGTTGTGCCGCTCCCGCGCCGCCGCCGAGTATTAGCGCGCCAGCCGATGTTGGTAAACAACGCCGGCGGATGACCCGGGGTAACCCTAAAGATGTCCGTGGACGGGGAAGAATTACGGTGGAAATATAATCCCATCAAAAGCATAGAATGTAAAAAATGCAAGTCTCGCAACACAATTCTTCCACTATAAAAAGTTGTGAGATCTCATGTAAAACCAAGTCAGTTTATTTTATATTTTCCATAGCAACTGTTAAAATTGCCTTATATCTATAAAAAATAGTAGATAAAATAGAACTTTAACCGCAAGGGTAGATTTAATGATAATTTCACACCCAGGATAGGTTAAAAACTTTATTTCTTCTCGCACGTTTTTTAATTGCTTCCATTTTTTAAAATTTTTCTATTCCTTTTCATAAGGTATTCGGGATTTAAATGGAAGTAGTTTGGATATGGCGTTTGTCGCCTCATCCTGAATATCTGTTGGTAATTTACGTATTTCATTTTGAGCCATTTCTGGCTCCAGTTCAATCAGCAATCGACACGAAAGAGAATTAAAAAATATTGACTCAAAACTAACAACTAAAAAGACAGCTTTATTTATTTGTCAAATTACATAGGAACCAACGCCAACCCAGCACAATATTTTTTCTACTCGTAATAAATTCCTTGAAATAATCATTTCTGAATATTTTTTAAAACGTAACTCGCTAATGGAAAAAAATATTGTTTTATACACGACGATAAAATTGCATTATCGTATCGTACCATTTTATCGTCTTGTATAAAAACTATGGAGGGCTTAAAAAAGGAGGTTTATCGGCAATGGGCATATTTGAAATTTCTGTCCCCACTTTTAAGCAGGTTCCTCGGTTTGACAGTAGAGGCACTGCGATAGATAGGGAAACTATATTTTCATTGTTATTATACGGTTTAAGTTTGTTGAATTTTTAGGCAGTATAACAATGAGCATTGTGAAAAAAAAAACTATACAGTAGAAATAGCTCGGTATCTGGCTGTAGAAGTGGATAATTTCAATGAAAAAAAAGCGAAGAAAGAAAAGTAACCCAAAACTTTTTAAAGCTCCTAATGTAAGTAATATGATTATTTATTTAAAAAAATATGTTAGATGTTAAGAAAAATATTAAAATTATATACTATCAGTATACAGATTTATTTAAAAATCATATTAATAGAGAATATAGCCCAAAATCGAACATCTGCATGACATAACCTAGAGAGCCTAAAATAATAATAATGTAATACTTTAATACCTACTAACATGTTATTATATATATATATATATATATATATATATATATATATATATATATATATATATATATATATAACAACCATTGCTATTAAATATTATTTGAATATTATAAGTGAATCTTAAACATTATTTACACTTCAAAAATGTAGTTTTAAAATAACAGCTACCTCGAATAGTGAAAATTTTTTTAAATTTATTTAATAATTAGGTATATCTCTTTTACTAGGATGACTAGGGATAGCATCGACAAGAAGAAAGACATCTAACTTGCTACAGCATTGGCAAGGGGCAGTTCCCCAGACAAAACTACTTCGCAGTAGTGATGTGTTTTATGCATATTTAGACAAAATTAGTTGACGGAACAAAAAGCGGAACTATCAGTAGATAAGGGTAGATAATTTATTTTACTATTAGTAGATAATTTCTTTTGTGTATATTCAGGTTGTATATTACATTTATTAAATTTAGCTACTTGGAGTTAGTCAATTATTCAAAATAAAAGTTATCTATTTATATTCCTAAATAAATAAATTTAATGTTTCAATGCTTTCAATGTTTCCTGTAAGCCTATTTTTTTAATGTAGTTTTTAGAGGAGGGTTTTTTACCACGTTGAGTAAGTTCTTTTCTATGATGACTTTATAGCCTTTTTTTCTGTAACATGTATTTCCATTTCAGTGTCCTGAGGATGGAATAAATAAAAGATTGACCATTAACAAAAGTGTATTAATTGTAGTCCAAACCCTTCCAACTGCGACCCCACTAGTTCCTAGATTTTCTTTCTCATTAGTCAGTCGATACTACTCATAGAATGTATACACATAGGAATACATACAATGATCGAAAAACGGCGTCAGCGATCATTTTATATATAAAATTATGTGGAGATGTCAGATGTTCATTTCCTAGCCAACTGGACGCCGTTTTTTTCGATCATACGTTAGTCCTTGACCTTGACTTATTATTTTATTTACAAACCTACCTCATACTTGTATTAATAGTAAAGTGGATATCAACAGAAGGAACTTTAATTACAGATCAAATCAAATGTATACATATGTATTTATAACACAATTGTTAGGTGACATTGAACATAATACATCTTCAATTTAAATGTCTGTGAAACAGTCATAATTGGCAAGTTTTGCCGATGACATTAAAACTTACAATTTTGAAAAGCTAAAAAAAAAGTAAAGTTACGAGATACACAACACCAATCAAACACGATAAGTGCAATGTTTATATTATATAATTCCTGATTAATTTTCGTCATTCATTTGCTGTAATTTGTCATAAAACCACTACTAGTTTAAAAGTGTTTAATGTTTATTATTAGTATCACAATGAACTGCACGTAAACATGTCCATTCCAAGTGTTTTCATGAAAAATTATGAAACTTTAAACTGCGTCAGCAAAATTATTAATAAATCACTAACACACTCACATCATAAACTATTTAATTCACATTTCTCATCAATTAACAATTACAGTTTACATCAAATCAAAGGTTGAACTGGAGATACGTTTGTTGCTGGAACTTCTATATTTTGTGTACACCAGTTGAAGGAAACATTTACTTTAGCAGCTTATATTTTTCTTCGGCCGTGTATGCACTAAATAGAACTCCATAATAAAACATTTTTATAATAAGAACTTAGGAAAAGAATATCTAAAACCGGCATCTAATATAATCAAATGATATGATAAATAATAATAACAAACTCAAATTTAAGGTTTTGTATTCACAATTTTAGCCACGCACATTGCTCAATTAGAAAAAAACACGTTTCTAAAAGCTAACTCTGGTAAAAATATGCCCAAATATTAACTTGGCTCTATAATTTATAACAAAATAGTTATTCTTGCCATAAGAAGCTGTGTATTTCTAGTATCCCTATCATCACATGCGCTCCTAACGGCGATTTTCGAACTTCATTTAGATCATGAAATCTGGGCCCAAAATTTTTGCGTTCGATTCGCCTCCTCCTTTTAGACTCCATAATAAAAACTGTAGGTATGTCTTCAAGTGTAGTAAAAATTAATATTCTTGCATTATCCACAACGAAGTTAAAGGGTAGTCAAAAGTGCCGCTAATACCTTCGAGAAAAAGATGGTACGGCTGTGTTCGACTTGGCCCAGATAATTATGGTATTTGATTGTAGAATGGCATGGGAGGGGAAAGTTAATTACTGCGAACTTATAGATCTATTGCGTCCCCCTTTCTTGACTACCCCTTCCTTTCTTCCCCCTTCCCATCGTGCAGTCTCAGGGCTTTTACAAAAGGCAGTATCTGAGACGGTTTTAAAGAGGTTAGTCTCCATCTCCATCTCGATATACATATATATTACGTGCACGAATCGTTGTCGTCTCGGCGCACTCAGTGATGATATGTTCTGGTGTTTCCCCATTCTCGACACAGAATCTGAATTTGCCGTTGTTTCTTAGCTTCAAACTACTAAGGTGTTCGTTTAGGAGACAGTGTCCTGGTTCAATCCGAAATCCCCTGACAATCCGAAGATCGTTCTTACATGAATCAAGGGAAATCTTTGATTTTTCTCGGTCGTAAGTTCTGAGAAATTTCTTTGAGTGTCTTAGACCTAAAGGATTCTCATTCCAGATAAGGAGTCTTGCAGATTCTTGAGTTCCGATTTAAGTTGGTTTCCACTTGGGAACCAGAACATTTTTAATCCGGTTAGTAAAATGTCCGGTATTTATAGTTGCGTCTACTGGGTCTCAGGAAAGACCGACAAAAATAGCAGGCTTACGTTTCGTCGCCCGTATCTGAGACCCAGTTTCGAGACGCAACTATAAATACGGGCCTTAGAGAAGGTCTATGTCCAGCAGTAGACGATGATAATAATGATGATGATGAGTCTGCTGAGCAAAATAACAAGCTCCATTCAGCGTATGGCAGACACGACTTCCAGCGTAGAGCGACCTTTAGGCGGCTTTCCTGGTCATTAAAATTAAAATGCAGAAGCTGCAGGGCCGACGCAACTAAGAGTACTAAGGCCGCCGTTGACTGCCGGCTTTTTAAAATTGTATCAAACGGTCATACGCGCCCCGCAGCGGCTTATCATTAAAAAGAAATTTCCCAACGACCGACGGGGACGTTAAAAGACGCGAGCACCGGTAATTTGTTGAATTGCATGAGCCCGCACTTACGGACACCTTTAGCAATGCGAAATTGCCAGCGAATAGGAATTGTTAGTCTTGCTCTTTTTCTTAATGTTTATAAGTCTCTATGTAGATTGTAGATTTGTATGGGAGGGAGGATTAACCAGCACGACCTTACAGATCTATGATGTCCCCCTTTCTTGAGATATACCTCATCATATAGCCTCAGGGCTTTAACAAAAGCCAGTATCTGAGACGGTTTTACAGAGGTTAGTTCTCTATCTCCAATATTAGTGTCTTACCAAAGTTTATGGCGCGAATAATTGTCGTCTCGTCGCACTCAGTGATAAGGTGTTCTGGTGTTTCCCCATTTTTCCCACAGAATTTGCATTCGCCGTTGTTTCCTAGCTGCAGTCTACTGAGGTGTTCATTGTTGAGACAGTGTCCTGTTAAAAAACCCGTAACTATCCAAAGATTGTTCTCACTTAAACGAGTGGTAAGATATTAAGTCCCGCATCGCGAGATAGCGGCCTGTGTTAAATGGTAGTACTTTCGTACCACCGAGGCACAACTATCGATAGTAAATAAAGGCTTTTTTCAGCTAGCCCAAAATATATAATGGATGCGGGACTTAATATCTTACCGCTACTTTACGACAAGTCGTATGTATATACTCTGCGCTGTGCTCGTCCTTTTGTGAAAATACCCAAGCTCACCTGATGATGGGGTAGGACCCCGAAACTGGTAGTGAGAGCAGGTTGATCCACATTATGACGAGCACAGCGTGGAATTAATTTCTATATTAGCAGTTCAAAGCAAGAAACTCTTATATAATTTTATTATTATATTATAGCTATCGTATCGACACTTGATAGAGTTTCGATTCTAGAATTCATCTCATTCCGTATTTAATTTTAATTGATTTGTTTATTTATTTAACCTAACCTAACCTAACCTAACTTATTTAAAAATATATGTATAACAAGTGAGATAGAAAGACCTAGCTGGATGATGGAAGGAAAATACTGAATAGTGAGCCATAAAAGCTGAAAATTTCTAGATTTAAAAATTTCAAAAATACCGTGAAATACCCCAATACACTAGACGAATAATTCAAAAGTTAAAGGTAATAAATTTCTCTTCAATTCGATCGGCTTCTGTCACCTTTCGCCACACACCAAAACCCGGAGGCGATCGGCCCTAATCCGCAAAGCTCCAAGTCGAAAATGCGACAAATCCGGTACTACCAGTGTTGCCAAAAGTTCTTTTTTATCGGGGTGTACTAACACAGTCATCATCTGCTGGTCCCCTGGAAATACTGGTTTTAGTAACAGATAGTACTAATCAGTACAGTTTCAATCAGTAAGCCAGTACTATAGGTTTATTTATTTATATAAACTTATTTATTTGTTCAAATATATCGACTGGCAAACCTCCACTTTAAGAGAGACAATGGCACACAACCTTGAGTAGTCGCTCTGTGTGCTATATATGGTTAAATTGGGGCAAAGTTGCGCCTTGGGATGTTCGCCAACATGCTATCAAAAATTTTTTCAGGGATTGCTGAGTTTTTTGAAAAAAAAACTGATTTTTTGGAAAATCAAATATTATTTATTCCTCTCGTTACTTTTGAGAAAATCGAGAATCCAATTGCACATTCTCATAGCCACTTTATTAGTGCTATCAGATCGTATTTTTAAATCTTCAAATTTCCTAATAGTTTCTGTGATATACAGGGTAGTCCGAACTGTATTCCGGAAACTTCGGAAGCATATTCTGCAGATAAAAATAAGTAAAAAAGTTCGTATAAATGTATGTCCTAAAATGCTTAGTTTCAGAGATACAGGGTGTACAAGTTTCATTTTTATTTCAATTTTTTCTAAATAATTTCTGAAGTAACATCAATATTTGAATGAAAATTGGTTTTGGGAGTTTTTTGACCTGGTCTGGGAGTTTTTTGACCTGAGAAATTTGATTTTGAATATTACTTTTGAATATGATTTTCAATATGACTTCTGCTAGTAGAGGGCGCCACCTATATGTGTTTTGACTGTTTTGAAGCGTAATAACTTTTTGTCCGTACCTGTATAAAACTACCGCGTAAAAAAATATACATCTCTGTGACTTTTTACGTAAAAAAATATCTCTTTGAAAAAATCGCTACGAGCAACCGTTCTCAAGTTATTTAGAATGGAAATAGTCAATACATGTCATTATAGACGAAAAATAAACGCGTTGAGTTAGATAGTTATTTCACTGAAATAATAAATTTGGGAAATTTTTATTTTTTTAAATTAATAATAAATTTTTCTGCAAAAAATTACGATAAAACAGTTTCTGTTGAACTTTTAGCACAAAAATATTTCAAATTTATGATTTCAGTCTAATAACTATTTAG